GGGGCGTCCGCGAGGTGGATCTCCTGTCAGGGGAGGCGGCGGCCGAAGAGGGAAGGAAGGAAGGAGCGCTTGGCTCAAGATGGCCAAAAGGCGAGGTAAAAGAGAGCAGGCGAGAGAACTCCTCGGGGCCTCCTCCTGCCCAGGGCCCCGGAGACGTCCGTGAGGGAAGGGAAAAGCTCCGCAGGGGTGGGAATGAGCGGCGACTTCTGTTGCCAGCCTTTCCTGAGCGCCGGAGTCCGGGAAATGGGACGGGAAGGGCGCCTCACGCATGTCCCGTTAGCTGCAGGTGTCGTTTCTTGTGGCGGCGATTCCCGCCTCCGAGGCTGCCTCAGCGGCTCTGGTGGGGCCTTTTCAGGCGTTTTTATCTCCGGCCGACCAGCCGCGCTTGGCTCAGAATCCTGTCCACCGGCAGCCCGGCGCCCCCTGCCGCCTCCCGGGCTCCTCTGGATCCTCCTTTTCCCGTTGCCTCTAAAATGGCGCCTTTCGCGGAAAATACAGTACACGGATAGAAACCCTCTTGTGTCCGGCGGCGTGTCTCCCTTCAGGCACCAGTTTGTCTGTGTGTGGAGAGAGAGAAAGACAGAGATGTGATTGGGTAGGATCTTATTGAGAAGATCTGACAGGAGTTAAGTATGTTTCAATTCTGTACTGTCCAAGTCTTCCTCTGTTGCTTTGCATCAAGGAAAAAGAAAATCTGGTCAATTTAGTACACTGAGTATGGTATTAATAATTGTTGATTGAAAATACAGTGATTTGAGTTTAATGTTGTTTTGATGGGTTGTAACTCTTAGTTGCCATAACAACCAAAGAGGAGGGAGAGTTGCTCATTTCCGTGTGTGATTGTTTTGACATATCTTGAAGTTCCATGTAGATATGCAGTAATCCACTGGACTAGACTGTAAGAATTATCATTGTACTCTTTCACCTCAATAATTTGTTAATAGTGGGGTTGGTTTTGTATTTATCTAAACTCTTATCTGTGAAAAGCCTTTAAAATCACTGTTTTGAAGAGAGATTCACAGCATTTTCTCAAGATGTCAAGTTGTAGGTAACTGGCCATATATAGTATGTTAATGGTGCTAAAGTATGAGTGGTCTATTAACATATTTTAGATAATACAGTATTTTCATCTTTGGCAACTGTTTAGGCAAATATATTAGTCTGTTAAGTTTTATTAGACTAGTTCCATTTTTTTTCTGTTTAATTAGTGTAATAGTTGTTGTATAATACTGTGGCCAAAATCATATTGTGCAAACTAACCACAGCATAAGGCAAATGACATCACCTCCAACAGTGCAGTACAGAATCTAGGTGTAACCCAGAATTAAAGTAGGGAACTTGCATTTGTGGCTCCTGGTTATTTCCTGGTGTGATCCATCATCTTGCAGTGAAAAATTACAGCAGGCCCTAATCAGCAGCTGATAAAGAGAGCTTTCCACTCCGGTTCAGTTATGTTGCTGCAGGTGATGTAATTCGCTGCCACATAAGTTTAAGGAAGCGGATTTTGGGCTATGTAGATCTAGAAAGCGTATATAGAACTGCTGTTTCATTTTCTTATGTTTGCTTTTTGAGTAAATGTAGGCAGGACTATACTGTATGTATCAATGAGCAACCTGTTATGAATGTGTCATTATCACATGCCATCAGGTTGATTCTTATTTATGGCAACCCTTCCTAGATCTTTCTAGGTATAAAAGACTCAGAAATAGTTTATCAGTGAGTTCTTCTGAGGGTATTCTAGGATTGTGTAGCTTGCCCAAAGGCACATAAGCTGGCTCTTCTAGGAGGGCACAGTGGGGAATCAACTCCAAACCCCTGGTGTTTCAAATAACTGAGCTAAGCAGCCAGCTAAAGCAATGTAAGCTACTAGGAAATGTGTATGGTTTCAACTGGATTAAGAAATGTGTGTATCTCAATGTCCACTCCCTTCTGTTCTCCCAATTTTTTCTTTCATTCTGGTCATTCTCTTCTCAATATTCAGCCACCTTATGTCAAGGTTGGAAACCCCTTAGTTTTACTCTTACCCCATTTGTCTCTTTCTTTCCTGCTTCTGTTTGGTACTAGCCAAAGTTAAAAGTGCATCAGTTTCTCTACTCATCCTAGTGTTCCATCTCTTCTCTTGTCTCAATAGTTTTCTCACACTGGCCTTTTTGTTCCACCCACCTAGTTCTCAGCCCAGTACTTAACGGCTAAAATATATCACAATTGAACTAGAACTGCCAGAATCCCCCACTAGTATGACAACAGTGGCCTGTATCTTGACTACCCAGTATGGCAAGTTCAGATAAAGTTCACCCAGGCTTTCCCAGCTCTTTCCTATCCAGAGATTTTGCAAGGCAAATATGTAAGAACATCTTACAAGTCAGATCTGTACCAGAGTGAAACATGATAACTTGAGATGTGGCTGACATATTATCCTGTGGATAATATTATATATAATAATTAAGTAAGCAACATTTTCTTGTTACAAAGAGTTCTAAATGGTATGTCTGACCTGAAGATCATTTTCTAATTTGACAGTGTTACGTCAGTGTTTGCCAGTTATCTTGAAATTGAGAGAATTTATATGTATTGGAAGCTTGTAGATAGAACTTTATCAAATGGTTTAATTGTGACGTGGCATATGAGGGTATAACAAAAGAATTTATATGACATTGTGTCTTTTTTTGCTTTTGTTATTGTGAGTGCATCTGATTGTTAATGTGAGGGGAAGTAATCATGATACTAAAAGCACATTTTAATATCATGGTTCTACCATATTACGTTGTTTAGATGTCTTTTTGGCGCAGAAGCCCCAAATTTGGAAAATTCAGAAGTGAAGTTTTTTCTTCCCAGAGCACTCTAGAAATAATATTTTATGAGTTTAGAGAAGTTGTTTCACAACCAAACTGATAAATATAGGTGATGCCTGCAAAATGTTTTTTTTATCATCACCCACTAAAACAAGTGTTTGTATTCATGCTAGGCAACCATATACACTTTATTTTCTTCTCCTTCCCACCCCATACCTTTCCTCTCACACCCCATATTTTCCTGTTTCCAGCTGGCATTCAGTATTCTATCACCATCCAACATGTTTGGTTTGGTTTGCCTTGAATGGTATTTGGAGGATGTTCTTAGGGTTTTTCCCCCTCTGTGAACCTTGGTGTTTCTGTAAGGTTACTGATACTTCGCTCCTACCCTGTTTCCCTGAAAATAGGCCCTAACCTAAAAATAAGCCCTAGTATGATTTTTCAGATTGCTCGTAATATAAGCCCTATGTTAGTACAGTACAGTGGTGCCTCGCTTAACGAGCGCACCGTTTAACGAAGAATCCGTATAGCGATCCCTTTTTGGGGATCGCTATACGGATCTGCCCCAATCGCCGCACTCGCTTTGCGACGATTGGGGCGTC